GAATGCCTCAGCAAGTGATGGCACGAGCAGGCTGTTTGTCCAGCTCCAGTCATTGCTCCTGCTTCCAGACTGCACAGTGCTGGTGCCAGAGGCTGAGGGTGCAGCCCTGAAGGCACAGCCACCACGGGGACACAGACCTCCTCTGCAACAGGCACAGCCCCCACGGGGACATCGACCTCCTCTGCCACGGGCACAGCCACCACGGGTGCCAGCAGTAGCAGCTGCAGCCTGGAGACCTGCAGGGGTGTCCCATGGCCATCAATGGGGTTTTGGTGGAGAACAATCCCTCCACTCTCTTACCCCCCTTCCCTGTCCACAGACCCCTGCCACCTCCCATCCCACCTCCAGGCCCACACCAGCGTGACCCATCCACAGGGAATGACGTGGGCTGAAATAAACCCCAGGCAGTTTCTAATGCAAATGTGAAAAAGGCACTGGGTGTATAATAATAATGAAAGGGAGCTGCTTGTTCGATACATCACTGTCTTATGAAGTCTGGTCCTTCAGAAACCCCAAACAGGTCCCCAGCAGGGACACCCCAGGCTCCTTCCAGCTTAGGTCACTGCTCACTCTGCTACTCCAGACCACTCAGAGGCACTTTCCACTCAATGATCTTGGAGGTCTTTCCCAACCTAAATGATTTCTAAGACCACTGCCCTGGGGTGCTGTTCCAGTGCCCAACCACCCTCTGGGGGCAGAACCTTTTCCTGATACCTTTCGCTAATGTGAACATGCTTCACGTCACTCCTGCTGCAGATGCCCATCTGCCTGCAGAGCCTGATGTGTCCTGCATGACTCCCTGTGCAACCTCCCGGGTCGAGTGGGACAGTGCCTGACCAGTGCTGGATGGTCCAACACCAGAGGCTCTCTGGAACCCCCTTCACGGACACCCTTCACCTGGCAGTCTCCTCCCAGCAACCACACTGCCCTTTGACAAATCCAAGGCATCCTTACCCCTGGAGCCTCCCAACGACACAGAATGCAATCGAGTGACAGGGACAACATCTGGCAGGGATGTGTGTCCCCAGTCCCTGCCTGTGGCTCTGGCAAACCCTCAGCCTCACATGAGCTCCAGGACAGCAAAGGAAAAATCAAGGGCAAAAATTATCTGTGGCAGTTTAATATCAAGGGATTAAGTTTCCAGCCTTTCTTTTTGGGGAAAAATCCAGCATTTACAAAGCTGGAAAAACAGAAAAGGGCTCAGTCTTGTGTTGATGTCAAAGAGGGATTCAGCTGGGAATAGACTCGGAAGCGAATTTTATTTACCGGGTGCGTACTTGTGACCTTTAGAAAATGGATTAAAGCCTTTCTGCACCCACCTCTGGGCTGTGGAAATATTACAGCAGCAAAATCCTGAAGTATTTGTGCAAAGAGCCGACGGCACAGCCTGATTGTGGAGCTGGGCACAGGGAGTGGGACTCACAGTCCCTCCTGCAGGAAACCTGAAGCCCCCAGCCTCGTGGGCCATGGGCTCCCACCCCAGGAGCACTGGCTCCCTCTGGAAGATTCCTTTTCCTCTGTTGCTCATTCCAGTCCCATCCCTGGTTTAATCCCCTCTTTCCAACAGCACACAAAGACACAGATCCGTGCTGAAGAACTTCAGACGTGTTCGCATTTCTTCTCAGCAGTGAAGTGGAAATGATTAATTCCTATAAGCCCATCCTACTCTTTACCCCTTGGAAAAGGTGGTGGTGGCTGATTTGAGGAAGAGTGGAAAAGGAAGCCCAGGTGGGAGCAGTACAGGAGTGAACACCCTTGGCTGCCTCGTGGTTTGAATGGACAGGCACTGTCCATTAGGGAGATGTCAGGACACTGCAATGCCATCGATGCCTTTGAAGATTCCCAGGTCTCACCATGTCTCTCATGAAGATCAATGAACCTCAGAGCGCATTTCCCACAAAAATGGGGTCACAAACTGCACCCCTGGAAACCCTCTCCTGGCTGCTGCTCCCTAGAAACAGCACCAGAGCAGCCGAAACCTGAGCGACTGCTGCTGGGTGGAAAGGAGCAGCTCTATACTACTATTAAATTACTGAGAATCAAATAATATCACTCCTAATATGTGTGGAAAATATTACACATTTGCTAATAGGAATAAACATGGAATTGAACATGACCTTCGTTTGATTAATGGTTTCTTAAAGCTGATTAAACCCAACCCTAGGAAACAGAAATTGGCTGTTTATTGCAGATACACCAGAGGCACAGCTCAGGGGCTCTCAGCCTCTTCAAAAGAGATCTGTCAGTTCCTTCTTCCTTCCATTCCTACAATTCCTGCACTGAGGACCACACAGTCTGTCCTGAGAGGTGCACAAAGTGAGTGTGGAAGGAAGTGCTGCACCCAAAGCCACAGCAGGTGCTGCTCCTGGGTCCTGTCACCACAAGATCACGTAGCATCACAGATCCCACCAGACGCTCACGCACACCAAGGGTCTACACCCCCCCTGAGAGATGGACACTAGCTCCTGAATATCTTCCTGAACATGGATGGCCACATAGTGGTTTAAATCAACCAAAGCAGCTAAATCGCTCCTAAATTTCAAATACTACTTTCCAGATAGGTAGTTCCATGTCTTCTGTAATTAAATGTGAGCTAGAAACGAGCTGGTAAGTGCAAAAAGCTTCTCTCAGTGTCAGAGGAAATTCAGCATATTGACATAATCATCCAGAAAGATGAGAGATGAATCATTTGAGCATTTTGTTGAAAGTGTATGTACAGTTCTGATGCCTGATAGATGCTACGTGCTAGACTTAACCTCCCTGCAATGCAAACAGAAGAGCAAGGAGCCATGGAGAACAGCCACCAGGAACAGCTCTCTTCAAAGCCCAAAGGGTCCTGCTGCCCTGGGATAAGAATTTCTTTTCACCATTTCATGATCTGAGCCGAAATAATTTTCCAAGTGCTGCTGCTCAAAAGTATAAAATCTCCTTCTCTGGAAAGTTTCCTTTTGGAGCTGTGAGTATTCTCGTGTCAGCTCAAAAACACGTGAGCTGCTCTTCCCCAGTAAGATTTTGAGTTAGCAATTGGTCTTTGACAGTGAGCTGAAGTCACAAGGCCCTGAGAGTTCCCATTCCCACCAGGAGTGTCTGGGGAGACTTTCCTCTGCCGTTTGCCTTATCCCCACAGTGCTGCCCTACGGAAAGACCTGAGCTGGTATATAATCATTGGCCATTGTCTAACAGCAGCTCAGAAATCTGACAGAGCTCTGCTGCCAGCTCTCGCCTCTCCTTGCTGGAGAGGCTGCAAACACGGGTGACTATTCCAAACCACCCCCTGGGTGCCTTGCACACTGCTGCCAACCCACTGTCCCACCCTGGGAGTCCGTGCGGACCCAGCGTGGGGCCCGGCAGAATTCACGGGGGCTGTGTGAGCAGTGTAACACACCCTGGTGTTTGTCAGAGAGCTGAGGCTGGAACAAAACGACTTTTGGCTAGCAAGTAGTGCTGATGGCAGCACTGTGACTCAGTGGCCTCTCCCTGGACTCTGCCCATCCGGACCGCACTGGTACCCTGACTCAACACTGACACTGCTCAATGCATCTTAGGTATTTTAAATGAGATTTTCAGTAACTGGTAAAAGGTTGGGCTCTTCTGGCCAAACAGGTCTGCGACCTCCTGAGAAATTTCTGCTTTTGCCAAGTCTCCAGTTCCAGCCATCCAAGCACAGCAAGTCAGGCTGCTCCCACGGCCCTGGGACACTGCCTCAGCAGGCTGCGCCGGCAGAGGAAGAAGGCAGAGGACAGTGCAGGTCACCTCCCAGGCTAGACTGGGAGTTTCCCACCCTCATGGCATGAGCTTTTGATCAAAGAAGGATGGGAGAAAGCAGCCAAGATGACCTGACTGGAAGGAACCACAAGCAGGTACAGCTTTCCCTGACCACTCAGCTTGTCCTCAGTTTACCTCACCAGTGTGTGGGGACACTGGTATCACCCTCCAAGCTGGGCTGGGCTATTCCACAGGTTTGATATGGCACATGTCACACATTTCCAAGGTCATTTCCCTACCCTAAGCCCCAGCCCTGGCACACAGCCCTGCACCACGCAACTGTCACCTGAGAAGGTGACAACAACCCAATCCAGCAGTTTTCAGGGAACATCGCTGGGGCTGTCGCTCCCACAGCTCCAGTCCATTGGGCACCCAGAGGGACACAGCTCCTGCTGGGCCACAGCAAAACACAGGCCACCAAATGACTCCAGAACCACCACTGCAGTGAAGCCTCGTGCAGATGCAAACTCACGCTGTTGATGCAGACTCAAGGTGTTGATGCCACGACAGAAGCAGCAAAGAGTTACCTACACAGGGACCGGGTGAGAGCCCAGTGAAACAGGGAATGGAAAGGGACTAACACTAGGAAAACAACCAGTAACTGATTTCCAGAGCTATCCAGCTTTTGGATCATCACCTCCCACCTCCTCCCACATGCTTGGCAAAAAAAGCTAGTTAAAAATAAACAACAAAACCTCTTCTACATAGGTCATTTCTGACTGGGAAATCAGCCCAGGATGCAGAGAACCCTTCTGACCACAGCGTGCCAGCTTAGTTGATCACCCAGGACAGCTTCCAGCACCTTCCTGACTCCCTGCCCACCACACAACCCAGACACCCCTGCAGAAACTGCGACTCACGAATGCCTACTGTGAAATGGTCACAGTGGTGCTGGTAGTTTGAAACACACCTGTCTCACCAAGATGCCAAGAGTTAAAGCAATGCCAAAGGGCAGCCAGGTATTTTCCTGACTGTTTCTCCTGTGCTGACTGCACAGCCATCACAACAAGTACAAAACCAGCCCCTTTCAGCCCCGGTACTGGTTCAATAACCCGTAAGCACACAACAGCAGCACCTGACAACCCCCCCCGAGCCCAAGCACTCAAGCCTACCTTGCCAAAGCTTCCCTTCCCAATCGCCCGGAGAATCTGGAAGTGGTCAAAGTTCACTACAAGGTAAAGAAAAGAGAATTTAAATTTGTAAATGCTTTACTGCAATTAGCTTGCACTTAAAAGAAGACAAGGAGACAACTAAGAGCGTTGGCCAAGCTTTTATTCCAAGTCTGCCTCCGGGGAAGCTGCAGGACAGCAGCCGCATTCGTCTCCAGGCTCTTATCACCTGCTTGAGGTAGCTGGCAGAGGGGTTGAACGAGGTGACTGAACGAGTGGTTCAGCACAAGTTCAACTCGGCTTTGACCAGGGTGGATGCAGGAGGAGTCCCACAGAGCTCTCAGGCAAACCCAGCGCGTGGCAGAGGGGCAGCCTGGGGAGCCCTCACCCCATGCTGCTGCACCCACTCCGTCTGCCTGCCACACTCAGCGCTGGGAGTGCTGGTGCTTCCACAGGACAGCGTTCAGCACAGCCATGGCCCTTCACATGTGAGCCCATCTGGACCAGACCCAGTGCTCTTTCCAGAGCCAGGGTGAGGAGCAATGACAAGAAAGGACTGTGCAAGCCACTGCCTTCAGCAGCAGCTGCTGCAAACAAATGCTAAAGTACTGTTGTCATCTAATTTAGTGCCAGTTTTAAATAAACAGAGGAGGTGAGGAGGAGCTCGTTGGTAGGCTGAGCTGCACCTGCTCAGATACTTCCATCAGTCCTTGACATGAGCTCCTGACCAAGCAGGGAACCCTCAGAGTTCCTCACCAGGTGACTGGACAAAGAGAAATGCTTGGGGGTTTGCAGCGTGAATGATGCACGGGATGGCCAACAGTGAGCACTGACTCTGTGTCTGACTGACATAGGAGACCAAAATCACACAGGAAGAGTGGGAACAAAGAACTCACTATAAATATTATGAGTCCCACTCCCAGATCTCAAATAAATGCACATCTGTTATTTCTGAGGATGAATCAAGAGCCCACGCATGCCCATGGAGTTCCTATTACCCTTTTGTGCTAGGCTTATATCCAAAACATTGTTATTGTCACTTTTGTGGGACATTTTCTGCAGGAGAACACAGAAAATTTTGCCAAATGAAATTGAAAACAGAATCTGGGCTACTAACAGATTCTACTACTTATCTCCCTCCATTCCCAGTCCACTCCACCAGCAATGCTGAAGGGCAGACGCATCACAACTGGTGCATGTTTAGTTGACAAGGTGGTGATTGGTCAAAGGTTGAACTCGATGAACTTGGAGGTCTTTTTGGACCTTAATGAATGTATGTTCTCCCCCAAGTTGCTCCAGGAGATTCTGTGACAGACCTCATGGGGACACCAGTGCCTCCTCATCCTTCTGACAGCCTCCCACGCCTCTGGAGGAAAGGCTCAGCTCCATGGGTGGTGTGTCATCTCCTCATCACCTCCCCTCTCTGTGGGCAAACAGCTTCTTGTTTAAGCAGCAGTTTATTGAGGATATTCCTACCACTCCTATTGAATGGACTGCAGTGAGCAATGCAAAACCACAGCTACAGCTTCTTCACGGACATTCTCTCAGAAACCTTCTGGCTGGAGCATTTGGGGCAACAAATCTAAAGCACTAACTGCCCTTCTGTCCAAGAGGACACCCACCACAGCGAGCCCCAGGAAGGGCAGCGTTTTCCTGGCAGTTAAAGCACATGCAAGTGCTCTGCTCCCGATCTGCCATCGCTCCTGGAGCAGCTTTTGACAATTCCTTGTTATAATGTTTGGAATACTGTGTAGAAAAGCATCACCACCGAGAAAACAAACCCCAAAGTGTCATTTCCATGTATCCATGACTACAACCGATCTGGGAAGGCTGCTGGAGTCAGCAGGCAGGAAACAAACTGAGATATGAATATTCACCAGGCCCTTGAACCCATCAGCAGAGATGTCACTTCTAATAAACTAATGCGCAGTGGTGCTGATGGGAAGTTCAGATGATATGAGTGAGCAGGCACTGACTGCTTTTCCAGCTCCAGTATTTTCTGCAGGACGCAGTAAGCAATCTGACAGTTCTGCGTAAGGAAGGGATTCTGTGATCCCATGATCCCCTTAAAGAAAAAGCAAATCTCAACATCTGAGGGATAAAGTCACAGCAGCAGCGTGTGGCTTTCTGTGCACAACACACACTGAGTTTCTAAAAACGACAACTTAGCACTAGAGAAAATGGGATTATGCCTAAAATAGAACCCCTAAACCTGGCCGGAACAGCTGTGTGTGCTCCAGAGGCTGACAGGAGAAAGCTGTCGCTCACCCGCGGCCGGAGGAGCTGCAGCTCTGGAGTGGCTGGTCCCAGCCTGAGTCACGGGCGCCAGCGGAGGAGCTCGCGCAGCAAGCAGAGGGTGACAGCTGTGGCCTGTTCCCAGGCTCATGTTCACCCACTGCTGCGACTCCAGCACTGCACAGCTCTGACAGCCACAGTCCGGAGGTACAGGAACGGCTCTGGCTTGGGATGAACTGGAGGAACTCACAGGAGGGAGAGAGGAAACCTGGGATGCTTTGGGAAGCATTTCTCTATTGAGAGGGTGTTCACACAGGCCTCCTGGAGAGGTGGTCATGCCCCAACCCTGGCAGTGATCAAGAGGCATTTGGACAATGCCCTTCATAGCTGCCTTAGCTTTTGGGCAGCCTTGAAGCATCAGGCAGGGGGACTAGATGACCACTGTAAGTCTCTTAAAACTGAAAATATTATATTCTTCTGTTCCACTCCATTCCAAACCCCTCTGCAATGTCCACACACAAGGCAGAACCACAGCACCAGGACACTGACTTGCCAGTCACACCCCAGCCCTGTGCCATCTACAGAGCGAGGAGCAGGGTGGCCACACTCCATCCCATGGGACCCCCCGAGCCCCACGCAGCCCCAGGAGGAGCAGGGTGGCCACACTCCATCCCGAGGGACTCCCCGAGCCCCACGCAGCCCAGCCCTGCCCAGTGCAGCACAGGGCCAGGTGCTGTTCTGACACCCTGTAATTGAGACCTCATTGTAGTCACAGGACGTGCTGTGGTATAAAGCAGGCTGGAACCACAGCTTCCATCTGCCAGTGAAAGAAAGGGAATGAAGAGTACATTTCTCTGCAAAAATCCATTGTAGAGAGGAGCAAGAAATGCAAAGAAATGAGGGGTTTGTCCTTATTATTTTTAAACTACGAATGTTCTCCCTATTTTGCTGTTTATTTTGCATTTATTTGCAAGACAGCTAAAAGTATGGCAAGATCAAACTACCATAGAACATGGTGGACACCTGGTGAGGGTTCAGCATCAGGACCAGGTATTAATATCCAGCAGTAGGAGAACAATGTAGTAGGATTCAGTTAGCAAACCCAGTTTCCAGTATCCTGAAATCTGGGGAAACCAGCAAATTAAAAATCACCTTTAAGGACTGAATCAACCTTTCACTCTTTATCTGCATGTTTTCCAGCCTCATCAACATCAACATTTAACTCTCTTCAACACTAAAGATCTAAGAAATCATTTTTTCAGTCTTCTAACAGCAAATCTGTCAGGGCAGTATGACATGGTCTACTTTCTGTTCATGTATTTCTGTCTGCTGGCAAAATTAATAGCATTTGTCTACCTATTTTACTACTGCAATGTAGCCTGGACGAAGCACTCTGGTAATTGATGTAGAAACATTAAATTGTGGCCTCAGAGACCACAAGTTTGCTGCCACTAAATGCCAAGAGTTTCATCTGGCAGGAAAGAGAGAGAGAGCTTCAGCTCCAAAGCCATTCCCACACACGGCCTGGGGCAGGAAGTCCCTGGGCAGGGATGGAGGGGCATGCAGCCAGCTGTGTGGTGTGGGACAGGCTCAGGGCCCGGCCGGGGGAATGGTGAGAGGGAACTCAGCAGGGTGAACAGATGTGGGGATGAGCAGCAGCTTTAGAGCCACAGGGAGGGCCTGAGAGGGAGATCAGGCAGAGCAGGGGAGGATGGCAGAGCCCACAAGGGAAGCACTGGCACCACTGCGAGCAGAGACCTCCGAACAGTCCCAAAGCAGGGTCAGCCTGGAAAGTGAGAGGAGGGATGGAGGGGGTTCAGTATGAAAGCATTTAAGCATTGGGACAGGCTGCCCAGGGCAGTGGTGGAGTCACCATCCCCGGAGGTGTTCAAGGAATGACTGGACGTGGCACTCAGTGCTCTGCTCTAGCTGACAAGTGGGGATGGTCACAGGTTGGACCCAGCGGTCTTGGAGGTCTTTCCCAACCTGCAGGATTCTGTGAAAAGCTTTCAAAGCAGAGGATGAACCTGGATGAATTGGGAAGACTAGGAAGACTGGTGAGATTGGGAGTGAGATTTGTGGTTAGAGATGAGGTAAAGTAACATGGGGGAAAATGCAGAGGCATTTGATGCAGAGAGGGAGCGAAGGCAATGGGAGTGGTATCAGCAGTGCTCCCCGAGCCTGAAACCCTCGGAACACAAGGCATTCCATTTTCTCCAACCAGAGGGCTCCATGCAGTGCAGAAAATCACTGCTTTCCTTTCTGTCCCTGGAGAAAGCACAAGCAGCATGTTCAGCCCCCAACATCTCGAGCTGATCTGTTTTGCCTATTCATATCCACAGAGAAGATTACATGGGTGAGGAAAATGGAAATACAGTGTAATATGACGGTCAGGAACCTCAAGTGAACATTAACTACCCAGGGATCCAGGGAATGCTGGTAGATAATGAAAGAAATTTAAGGTACAATGCCAGCCCAGTGCTGCAAATGAACCCCTTTAGAAACCACAGATTCAAACACACTGTTAAGAAGCAACTCTGAAGTTGTGTAAAAACATCAAGTTATTGTTTAATTAAAAATGAATCTCTTTGACTCCATAAGGAATCAAATGCACCATGCAAAGCAACTGCTAAGTCAGTTTTGGAAGACTGGGTTATTGATACTGGATACAAAAGTGTTTGCATTGGCCAGAAACCATTCCCAATTAGTGAAAAAACAGCACTTGTATTGGCCAGGAGCCTTTCCGAAGGAGTGCGAGCACACTGCATGCATCTGAGCTCCACACAGCGAGGCACTGGGGATGGAGGAAGTCCAGGTGCTCATC